CAAAAGTGGGATTACTGTGTCAAAGAATATGTGCATCTTTGATTTTAATAGATCCTACCAAATTACTTCCTTAAAATGCTATAGCAATTCTCCAACAGAAATTAAAGAAAGTACAAATTTCCGCATGTCATTGTCAAAATTAGTTCTAAATTTTGCCTTATGGATGAAAAATGTTTTCCTATTATTTGTGTGTGTGCTTTTTAAATTTTTAAATTGTAATATTATGTGTATAACATAAAATTAACCATCTTAACCATTTTTAAGTATATAGTTCAGCAGTGTTAAGTACATTTACAGTGTTACAAACCAATCTCCAGAACCATTTTTAATCTTGCAAATTTCAAACTCTCCACCCATTAAATAATAACTCTCCATTCCCCACTCCCCTTGACCCTTAGCAACCACCATTCTACTTTCTGTGTCTATGAATCTGACTACTCTAGGTACCCCATATAAATGGAATCATACAATATTTGTCTTTTTGTGACTAGCTTCTTTCACTTAGCATAATGTCTTCAATGTTCATCCATGTCGTAGCATGAGTCAGAATTTACTTTATTTTTAAGGCTGAATAATATTCCATTGTGTGTCTATATCATATTATGTTTACCCATTCATTTGTCAGTGGACATTTAGGTTGCTTCCATCTTTTGGCTATCCTGACTAATGCTGCTATAAACATGGGTGTACAACTATATCTTTGAGATTTTGCTTTCAATTGTTTCGAGTATATGTCCAGAAGTAAAATTGCTGGATCATATGTAATTCTATTTTTAATTTTTTGAGGAACTTCCATACTGTTTTCCATAGCAGCTGCACAGTTTTACATTCCCACCAACAGTGCACAAAGGATCTCTACACATCCTTGCCAACACTTGTTATCTTCTGTTTTTTTGATAGTAGCCATCTGTCGAGTTCTTTTCTGTTTTTATTTTAATAGTAGTCATTCTTCTGTTATTTTAACATATATATTCACATATTTATAATCATATATTTATAGATCAGCTATTTGTATTTTCTTTTCTATGAATCACCTGTTTATAATTTATAGTCTTCACCGTTTTTCTATTGGGTTGTCTTTTTCTTATCAATATATAGAAGCACTATGTGTTGGGTTGGCATCAAAATTGTCATTTCTTTTGGTCAAAAACAGTTGACTATCAGCAACTTTATATAGTTCAACTTAATATTATGAATATTAGGCCAAGCGCGGTGGCTCACGCCTGTAATCCCAGCACTTTGGGAGGCCGAGGCGGGTGGATCATGAGGTCAAGAGATTGAGACCATCCTGGTCAACATGGTGAAACCCTGTCTCTAGTAAAAATACAAAAAAATTAGCTGGGCATGGTGGTGCATGCCTGTGGTCCCAGCTACTCAGGAGGCTGAGGCAGGAGAATTGCTTGAAGCCAGGAGGCGGAGGTTGCAGTGAGCCGAGATTGCACCATTGCACTCCAGCCTGGGTAACAAGAGCAAAACTCCGTCTCAAAAAGAAAATATGAATATTAATATTAATTTTAATATTATAGATATTAATCCTTTATTTGTCATTAATTGCAACTATTTTCTCACAGCCTCTTATTTGTCCTTTGACTTTTCATGGTGTCTTGCGCCACTGGAAAATTTTAATTGTCAATATTATCAAATCTGTTTTTATTCTTTTATGCTGAGTTTCTTGTGTTATTTAAGGTCTCCCTAGCTAAATATTACATAAATACTATAATTTTTTTACTTTGTCTTTGTAGCCTCTGTAATTAAAGATGAATTAAATAGGAGTTTATCTTTGTATTTTTCATGTGCTAGGCAATTATTCTAGCACCATTTGTTAAATAAGCCATTACTGAATTGAAATGCCATGTTTATTATATACTGTACTAAGTTCCAATAAAATCCATTTCTTTCTTCTCTATTCTATCTGACTGCTCTATTCTCCAATGTCCTACTTTTTTTTATTATACTAGCTTTATAGAGCGTTTTAATATCCATTAGGGCAAAATACTAGTAAGTTATTACTGGTCTTGTTTTTCAAAGCTTTATTGGAGATTATTATGGAGTTGAATTATTGTTCCTCACACAAATCTACAGAGATCCCTAGTTAGCAGTTAAATCTCTTACATATCTTAACATCTCCCTCAGTTCAGGAAGCCAGCTGGGTTTAAGTTTCAACCAACAACTGAGAGCCTCTTACTTATGTTCACCTTGGGAGGCCAGTACCCAGAGCTTCAGCGAGGGGATGAAGAGGAGAGGGAGGAAGAGGTGAGTTTCTCCATAAGCCCTCAGCATAGCCCTATGGTTGCTCATAATTTTACTCCACTGTCCTCAGGATGGACCTCCCAGGTAGGTGGTAGTCAAGGAAGGTGGAAGGGTAGCAGAAGCAAATTACCTGCTTCAGAGTTTTGGTTAGGAATGGGCTTTTTTTTTTCCCCTCTCTATCGCCCAGGCTGGAGTGCAGAGGCGCGATCTCGGCTCACTGCAACCTCTGCCTCACAGGTTCAAGTGATTCTCCTGCCTCAGCCTCCTGAGTAGCTGGGATTACAGGCTCATGGCACCACACCCGGCTAGTTTTTGTATTTTTAGTAGAGACTAGGTTTCCATCATGTTGGCCATGCTTGTCTCAAATTCCTGACCTCAAGTGATCCACCCACCTCGGGCTCCCAAAGTGCTGGGATTACAGGCATGAGCCACTGCTCCCGGCCCTCATTCTCAACAAATATCTAAATGACCCCAAAGCAAAAATACCAACTCCTCTGCCTGTGAGTCCTCAACATCAGTTATTAAATGAAACATATGGAAGCTCCAATGCAGCAGTGAGATCTCCCAGCAAATGGTAAAAACACAGTGAGAGCCAGGTAGGGGCAAGCCAACTGGACCGCATCCCAGAGCACCTACCTCTGCAGGATGCCAGACCATTATGGAAATAAATCAAACATGCCATAGTAGTTAACTCAGGTTTCCCCACAAACTCCTCACATAGCTAGGGAAACATACATGCCTCTACTCTCACTGAAGCAAGGGTTACCTTGAGCAGAAATTTCATATCCATCTTCAGTGGCCTTGCCCTTCTCATCATTTTTTGTGATTTGTGCCTGCAATGTGCACGGTGCTTCTATTATCTCTACCACTCAGAGTTACTGGTTACAATTAGCTGTAATTCTTTTTTAAAATACGGTTACAAAAATTTTAAAGTAGGCCGGGTGTTGGGGCTCACTCTGATAATCCCAGTACTTTGGGAGGCCAAGGCAGGTGGATCATCTGAGGTCAGGAGTTTGAGACCAGCTTGGCCAACATGGTAAAACCCCATTTCAACTAAAAATACAAAAAAATTAGCCAGGCTTGGTGGCACACGCCTGTAATCCCAGCTACTCGGGAGGCTGGGGCAGGAGAATTGCTTGAAACTGAGAGGCGGAGATTGCAGTGAGCTGAGATTGCAGCACTGCCTCTCCCACTTGGGCAACAAGAGTGAAACTCCATCTCAAAAAAAAAAAAAAATATATATATATATATATATATATATATATATGGGGCCGGGTACAGTGGCTCATGCCCGTAATCCCAGCACTTTGGGAGGCCGAGGCAGGCAGATCACGAGGTCAGCAGATCAAGACCATCCTAGCTAACACGGTGAAACCCCATCTCTACTAAAAATACCAAAAATTAGCTGGGCGTGGTGGCACATGCCTGTAGTCCCAGCTACTCAGGAGGCTGAAGCGGGAGAATCGCTTGAACCCGGGAGGCAGAGATTGCAGTGAGCTGAGAACGTGCCATTGCACTCCAGCCTGGGCAACAGAGCAAGACTCCATCTCAAAAAAAAATTTAAGTAATATATAAACTTAGTTTTAAAACCTTTAAATAGTAAAACTGGATACAGAGTAAAAAGAAAGTCTCATCGGCTCTAGCCCCTAGGACCTTCCTTTATTTGTATTTATTATTATTTTTTTTAGCAACAGGGTCTCACTATATTGCCCAGGCTTGTCATGAACTCCTTGCCGCAAGTGATCCTCCTGCTTCAGCCTCCCAAAGTGCAGGGATTATAGGTAGGAGCCACCACACCCAGCCTCCCAATCTTCCTTTAACTTCCCTCATATCTTACATGGAGAGATAGTTCCAGTAAAGCAGCTACAAGAACCCAGTGTCCTTAGGTTTCTGATTATAGATTAACATCTTGGTTTATTAAATTGCACATTGGTTTTTATCTTTAAAGGAAGGGCCTTCTACTGCAGCAGATCTTATATTAAGGGCTAGGAATAAAGAGGAACTGAGCTGGCCAGGGGGAGAGGGAGCAAAGGCCAGCTGAAGCATGGAGGTGGAGTGAGCACAGGGACCCCAGGTAGGCCAGTGGCCTAGGTGAAGTCTTCACAGACACAGGGGTTGTATGTCCTGCCTTCTGGTAGCCATGGGGAACCTGAGGGAAACAGGTGGGGCTGTGAATGCTCCTGTGGACTGGCGATGCTGAGGGTATGTAGCAGTCCACTTGTAGAGGCAACTAGCCATTCAAGGCATGGCAGGGCACAAGAAATAGGGCTGGCATGGCTGAGCATGGTGGCTCATGCCTGTAATCCCAACACTCTGCGAGGCCGAGGCAGGAAGATCACCTGAGACCAAGAATTTGAGACCAGCCTGTCCAACACGGTGAAACCCTCTCTCTACTAAAAATAAAAAAATTAGCTGGGTGTGGTGGCACACACCTGTAACCCCAGCTACTCTGGAGGCTAAAGTAGGAGAATAGCTTGAACCCGGGAGGCAGAGGCTGCAGTGAGCAGAAATCGTGCCACTGCACTCCAAGCTGGGTGACAGAGCAAGACTCCATCAAGAAGGAAGGAAGGAAAGAAGGAAGGAAGGAAGGAGAAAGAAAGGAGAGAGAAAGAGAGAGAGAGAAAGAGAGAGAGAAAAAAAAGGAGAGAGAAAGACAGAAAGACAGAAAGAAAGAAAGCTGGCAGGACAGGTATGGGAAGGTAGTCCCCTGCTTAGAGGCTGGGGCTCAGAGCAGACATCCTCTTTTGTGGATGACACTGACTTTTGTGGGCACTGGAGATGAACAGAAAGCCCACAACCCAGGCAGAAGAGGACCAGGTAAGCTGCCCTACCTCCTGCTAGAAATACTAAGGAAGAGGCTACGCCAACCCCCCTCACCTACACCCCTAGCCCAGAAGTTCTGAGAGCAACCAACATGGACAGAGAACTGCAGTAGAGTATTTCTAAACTCACATGGTGGACGACATGGCTTCCTTTGACCCCTCCAGACCCACCCCACCCTTCTCCACCCACTCTGTGCTCCTAGAGGCGGGCCTGGATGAACTCCATCAAAGGGTTCCTATGTCCTCTGCCTTCCAGTTGACCTTGGTCCCCAGCAGGAGGTGGGAAACCAAGAGGAGAGAGGTCAGAGTATTTATTCCCCCCAAATATCTCCTTGAGAGCTGGATGGCTGTGTCCCTGGACCAAAAGCTACAGCTCCTGTCAAGAGGCCCTCCTCACAGGATTTTCTCTCTCAAGTTTCCAGAGATTGCTTCCTCCTTCTGCTCCTTCTGGCCTGTGGTTTCCCTATACCCTGATATTCCTTTGTAAATAGTCTCTTTATTAAACTCTTCTCAATTTACCTAATCTGAGGGTGTCATCTGTTTCCTGCCAGGACCTGGAATGATACAGATGGCTTGTCTGACAGGACCTATTGATGGAGAATCCAAGAACCCCTTATTATTCTAGGCAGAGTGGGGCAGCCTGCATTTAGCTGGAGGTTACTAAAGGTGCATGAAATGAAGCCAGGAACTTGAGCTCTTTGGGGGTGGGGACTGTCTTACTGGCTTTGCAACACCAGCACTATGGCAAAGTCCGTCTTTTAGTAGGGGGCCTTCTAAGAGCAGGTTTCCATGCTGGCCTAAATTGTTAATTTCATGAAGTTATTCTGATGATACATGAAAGTGAAGGAGAAAACATAAAACAAGCATGTACATGAAATTGGACAAAATACTCCCTTATCAGCTTCCTTTCCCTCTTCTATATAATAAGAAGATACATAGTCTCTTCCATTCCAGTTCATTCCAGATTATACAAAATGTGATTCTAAACTGTTAAAATGAGTCCTATGTGGATACAGAGAAAGAGGCAGAAAAAAAGACACAGAAGTTTTGATTATTTTAACATGTCCATAAACATCAAGAAGTAGGAGTAGTTGTTTTTGTTCCCACTGGGGACTGTGGTAAGTAGGTTTTGTCTGTCTAGCTTACTTTCTCAATCCTTCCTCTGGGTCACTTGAAGATCCCCTCCCTGACTCCACATGACTATGGTGGGTACGTCAATCGGTGTCCTTTCCCGCCCTTGACATTTAATCGTCAGAAGACTAAACCAGAGCCAATCAGATTCTTCTCTAAAATTGATACATGGACAGGTGGACAAACAAGGTCCCTTTCTTCTAGGGCTGCCAAATCTTTCTGCCTGTTACTTGGGTGACCTTAGACAAACCGTTTAACTTCTTTAAGCCTCAATTTTCTCATCTTAAATGAGGTTAATAATACAATCTATTTCATAGGCATTTGTAAGAATCAAATGATATGAAGCATGAGAAAGGTTATTATAACTTTAATGTGTTTTATAATATTAATAAATGAATTGTTATTAAACATAAGTCAAATCATATGACAAATGAATTCATTGTAAGGTATTGGTCAATGACATCTTAAGACATTAAATCTTCCAGGGGTATTTACGTGTTTTAAAGGGGCCCATTATATAAAGCACAAAGATAGAGAACACTAATCTATACTGGCAGAAATTAGGATAGTGGTTAACTTTGCAAGGGTGGGGGGCTTGTGATCAGAGGGAACATATGGAAGCTTCTGAAAGGTGTTGGTTGTGTTCTGTTTCTTGATCTGGGTTCTAGTTACATGGGTATATTGTTGGTAAAGCTTCATTGTCCTGTATGCTTAAGATATGTGCCCTTTTCCATATGTATGGTATGATTTAATAACAAGTCTTTAAAACTTGGAAATTTCTGCTTCCAAGAAGATGGAGTAGGCATGCTTTTCCTTACTCCTCCTACTAAGTACGATGAAAAACTCTGGACATTATATATGAAATGAACATAAGAAGACTTTGAAAGGTGGCACTTTCTTTGAAAGGAGCAAACTTTGAAGGAGATGGCACTTGGAAATATCAATAAGTGTAGACCAAAAAAAAATCCTAACAAAAGCTGTTCTATCTGGCCAAAGAGCCAAGAAAGGAGCAACGCAGGAAAAGAGAAAACTTTTAGACAGAAGCTGCTCTGCTCTAACTAAACACCATAGGAGGGGGAAAAATGTAGCACCATCCTCGTTCACACTAGCAAAGGCCAAGTGGGGAGCCCAGAATTCCACCTTTGCCAGGCTATAACAATGTGCCCTCACCCATCACTGGGATATCTTCAGAGAAGGCCAAGTATGGAGCTAGTACTTTTATCCCTGCTGGGTAACGATGAGGAAACCACATAGGGAACCTGTACTTCCAGCCCGCATCCTTGCTTGGGCAGTATCAGAAGAAGCTTAGTAGAGAGTCAGGACTTCTACCATTGCTCAGCAGTATTTATGCTGTCCTCTCCCTGGGGTGTCAGCGGAGGCCTAGTGGGGAGCCTGAACTCCCACCCCACCCAGCAATAATAAAGAACACGCCCCCCCAGATGTCAACAGAGGCTGAATAGACTTTCTATGCTGAGCTGGCAGTAATGAGGGATCACCCCACCCCCTTCCCTTGCCAATGCAGTGGCCAAAAACCCAGCTAAAACATTAGGTTTAAATAAGACACAGAGTCATAACATAATACCCAAAATGTCCAAGTTTCAATAAAAAATCACTCATCACACTAGAAACAAGGAAAATCTCAAACTGAGTAAAAAAAGATAATCTTTAGATGCCAACACTGAGATGAACCATGAGATAAAATTTCCTGACACAAATTTTAAAGCAGTCATCATAAAAATAATGCAATAAGCAATTACAAGCACACTTGACACAAATGAAAAATGGAATAAATAAATAAATAGTGCCTCAGGAACATGTAGCACTTTAACAAAAGATCTAGCATTGGTATTACTGAAGACCCAAAAGGAAAGAATAGACAGGGTAGGGCTAAGAAAGTATTCAAAGAAATAATGGCTAAAAACATCCCAAATTTGGCAAAAGACATAAACCTAGAGATTCAAGAGGCTGAGTGAACTCCAAACCAAGACACATATAATCAAACTTCTATAAACTAAAGACAAAGAAAAAATTATAAAGGCATCAAAAAACAAATTATACCTTATGGCAGGAGAAAAACAACCAAATAACAGGATTTCACATTAGGAAACAGAGTAGAAGGAAGTGGTACAATATCTTTCAAGTACTAAAAGAAAAGAACTGTCAACCTGCATTTCTTTTTTTTGAGATGGAATCTCACCCTGCCACCCAGGCTGGAGTGAGTGCAATGGTGCGATCTCGGCTCATTGCAACCTCCACCTCCCGGGTTCAAACGATTCTCCTGCCTCAGCCTCCCGAGTAGCTGGGACTACAGATGTGTGCCACCACACCCGATAATTTTTGTATTTTTCATAGAGATGGGGTTTCACCATGTTGGCCAGGCTGGTCTCAAACTACTAACCTCAAGTGATCCAGCCACCTTAGCCTCCCAAAGTGCTAGGATTACAGGCGTGAGCCACCGCACCCAGCTTCAACCTGCATTTCTATATCCAGTGAAAATATCCTTCAGGAATGAAGGGAAAATCCAGACATTCTCAAATATAGGGGAACTAAGATAATTTGTTACCAGCAGATCTACTCTAAATAATGGCTAAAGAAAGTTTATTAAACAAAAAGGAAATGATAAAAGAAGTAACCTTGGAACATGAGAAAGGAAGAGAGAACATGATAAGCAAAATATCTGGGTAAATACAATAGACTTTCCTTCTCCTCCTGGATTTTTAAATCATATTTGACAGTTTAAGCAAAAAATATAACACTGATATAGTTTTAAATGGCTCTGGAAAAAAATCAAGACAATTATATAAATGGGGGAGAATAAATAGACATAGAGGTAAGATTTCTACCTTTCCCTTAAACTGGCAAAGTGATGACACAAATAAACTGTGATTTATATGTATGTATAATGTAATTCCTAGAGAAACCAATAATAAAACAACATAAAAAGATACACTAAAAAACATTATAAATCAATATGGAAGGCAGGAGAAAGAAAATAGAAACTGAAAAAGAGAAATAACAAATAGAAAACAAGAAATAAAGTAGCAAATATAATTATATTTAATGTAAATTATCTAAATATACTAATTACAAGACAGAAAGTGGCAGAGTGGATCAAAAAGCATGAACCAGTTATATACTGTCTATAAGAAACTCATTTCAAATGCAATGATAAAGGCAGATTGAAGGTAAAAGGATGGAAAAAGATATATAATATAAACATGAATCACGATAAAATAGGAATAGCTCTATTATATTAGATAAAGTAGACTGCAAAGAAAAGAAAGTTACCAGAGACAGAAAGAGACATTATATAATGATAAAAGGGTCAGTACACCAAAAGAACATAGCACTTCTATATGTGTTTGCACTAAGTAACAGAGCAGCAATATATGTGACTCAAGATCTGATAGAGCTGAAAGGAGAAATATGCAAATGCACCATTAGAGATGGCAACCTCCCTCTCTCAACAACTGATAGTACAACTAGCCAGAAAATCAGCAAGAATACAGAAAAACTCAACAATATCAATCAACAGGATCTAATCAACATTTACAGAATACTCTACTCAACAACAGCAGAATATACCTCAAGAATTTAGAAAAATGGGCCCTGGTAGTGGCTATAAGAAAAAAGAATTTAGAAAAAGAAAAGCAAAATAAACCCAAAGCAAGCAGAAGGAGATGCATAATATAGATAAGAGAAGAAATCAATGAAATTGAAAACAGTAAAACAATAGAGAAAAATCAATAAAACACAGAGCTGGCTCTTTGAAATCATCAGTAAAATTGATAAACCTCTAACAAGATTGACAAAGAAAGAAAGAGAAAAGATATAAATTACCAATATCAGAAATGAAAAAGGGAC